CATTTGCCGAAAAGACCGATGCCGGTAGCGACAAGAACTGCGGGGAACTCTGCAAAAAACGCATCTCCGCACGGGTAGCCCGTGCGTTTTCCAATTATTTTCCTCTTGCAGCATTTTCTAATGGTGCTGCGTGTAGCCTATTTAAGACCTGTTCATTAGGATCAAAATCATGGTAGTCTTGGCTTATCCTAGGAAATTTAGGCTTCCAGCATTTAGCCTTTTTACCAGCAATGGCCATTTCATTGGTAAAATTTTCCATTATTTTTTACTTCAGGGGTATTTTCAGGACATTGAAGCTTGTTTAACTGTTCCTGGGCTGTCCGTAAGTTATGGACAGATTCATTCTGTGATTGCCAAGGTTCAAGTTTTGGATGCATTGGCCTGATAAAGAGTGAAGAATTGAAGGATAAAATGAATGATCGGATAGATTCATTAATTCCAGGTATAAACCAAATGGACTTTTAAGTAGAGCTCACTTCGCGAAACTGGCAAATCATGTTAATTACATAAATGTTATGACGTATGATTATCATTTTGAACGGTATGTTTCGTGTAGATTTACTTTCATCAATTAAGACCCTTTTTCGCTTTTTCCTGTCACTAGTTTTGTGTTTTTGCATGAGCTTATCAGTTTCATTTTAGGGCGTACTGGTTTTGAGCGTCCCAGAAATAATCTGCTAGAGAGAAGAGTAAAAAAGTGGTGATAAAGCAAAACAATGGAGGGCTTGCAGGTTTGTCGGAGTAGCACCATTCGAATGGGTGCGTTTCAATCTGGAGTATGTGTTATCCAGTTCACCTGGGATTGCATCCAAAATTCTCATGGGCGTTAATTTTTATGGATACGTTAATGAGCAGAATACAATGAAAGCAGTTACTGGGAAAGAGTATGTTGTCTTACTTTTCTTTTGAGCCTTTTCTGGCTTAGATATACAGAAATATTTTTCAGCAGTATTAAGCTGTGCAAGAATTTCAGATTGCACTGATTCTAAATGGGGCTTTTTTCGAGCATACAAGTTGTGTGAGCGTCAAATTTGCTTTCATTTGTATTCAGACGTTTGAAACATATTGGGCTTAGTTGTGAACGTTCAATTCAAGCCACAAAATTTTGGATCCTAAAGTTTACAGTTAGGAACGGTTGCGCTTGAAAATTGTGTGATTTTTTATCTGCAGTGCCTGCACTGCAGCGTAAAGCGTCTCATTTTTCGGCGATTTGTCCGAGTTTTTAGATTACACTTAAAATTTTAGGTTCAGAAATATCTCGTGATAAATAAAAAATTGCAGCTATTTGGAATTTTTAAATTCAAACTGGGCAGCACTGGAGTGGAATTCAGTGACGAAAGAGCATTTACTCAAAACTGGGTAATTACCTTTTTTTCTTTCACTATCTTAGCTTTCGTTTTTAGCAATAGTTACTGTTGCGATTAGAATTTTCCGCTGGTCAAATTCTGCTAAAAAAGAAATCAGTGACTTTACCATTTTTTCATTTGTTTTGTTGATGAACTGGTAGTGGCGTGTTCGTTGGTCGGGAGTCGAAGTCGTTCTCAGCCTGACTCTTAAGCTGTTTTCGAAAAATAAAACCATCGGTTGCGTTGCTAGCAAATAATTGCCATCTGTCACTGAAGGCACAAGACTTCGTTTTCGGTTTTGATGCTTTATAACACTACAAGCTATTCGTGGACGGATAGAAAAATACACCGTTTAATTTCTTGCGACTATCTGTCATTTTTATTTGAAGATTTCTTATAAATGGAATACTCCGGATATTAGGTTAACTAAGCTGTTTCAGGAATCATGGTATGTGCTTTTATCCGACGACAGTATCCCTAAAAGCTAGGCTCGAGCTTGCCGACGTTTTGGATGTCGGAATAGGTATCTGGGAGCTTGGCCAAGGACTCAACTATTTCACCTGCTTGCTTTGATAGTGGTATAGTGCAGATACAAATTGCCTTTCAAGTGGCGATACTTGATGGTACTCAGATGCGCCGGCACCATTATCTCAAATCCATTTTTCGTGCACTTTGTGCAGCTAAACATGTTGATTTCATAAGTTGGGCGTGTTGCATGGTTTACCTGCTGTTGGTCATTTAGGTTTTTTACGGTACAAGACATGATGTCGGCAGGTTGTCAGAACTGATTGCGTGAAGCAGTACGTGACTGGAGTGAAAATCCTTTTCAGCCGTGCACGATGGCGTTCGAATTTTGACCAGTTCTTAAGTAAGTATGCTATATTATTGCTATATAAAAATACCCGTGATGAGGTACAGGCATTAGTGCTGTAACAGATGGTGTTCTTTTATCAGTCTTGGGATGAATAGTTTAGTTTGATTTAGCTCACTGACTTTCGCAGGGCAGAGAATATGGGGGACGGACAGATGACACCTTATTTGAACGCCTAGTATCTGCAAAGTGCTCTTTTTCATGCTAACAGCAATGACTTCACAAAGAATTTTTTGCCCTTGGGCCGACCTGGCTGTGTGTCTTCCTTAAAAAGCCCTTCGTATCAGAGATTTTTCGTCTTCCCAATTCTGCAGTCAAGAATCGTTTCTTTTACAGCAGTGATAGTTGTTGCTTTTCCAAATTTTTTTTGTATAAAGTAGATGCGTGTTTGATATTCTTTGTTGACCGTTAAAGAATTTTTGTATTTCACTCAGCTGTTTGTTAAAAAGGATGGTAAAAAAATGGGAGAGGTGGGGAGAAGCTCGCCTGCTTTCATATTTTAAAACTTCCCAATCAGTCGTTCTTTTCCCTGTCCGTTCCGTTCCCCTGCTCCTGTCTATTCTATTGTGTTGCACCTTTGTCCTTGATTTTTCCTGATTTGCGAGAGGCGATTTTTGCATTGATTTGGTATATATTGCTGCTTTGTCTGTTTCTTCAGCTTCGTCGCCCAAAAATGTTAGGCTGCTTTTACCACCAGCAGCAGCACCTCGGAGGGAAACATTAATTTTATTCATACAATGAGACGGAAAAAGTGCCTTGGAATGAATTCCTGGAATTGAGAAGGGTGTTAGTGGAATGTACGAAAGTTTTTGAAAGCCCGTTGCAGCATCGTCTGGGCCGATCGCCGTTTATCATCACCGTCGTCATCACCACTGTCATCATCGTCGTCATCATCACCATCGCCATTCATTATTTATAATAATTCAAGTAACATTTTGATAATGATTTTGAGAGCTGCTGGGGAAAAGACTAAAGGAAGCTTTTCACAGTAAGCACCTTCTGCTCGCCTCCTCCCGGTCTTCGCTAGCTCAGCAGCTCTGCGCTGTTTAAGTGATTCATCTCTGGAAATTTCTTCCGAGTCCACCTGCTTCCTTGTTTTCTCTATTGCGGGACTGTTATTCGCTTGATGAAAAATTTCGTAAATAGCAAATGAATAGCAGCGGAAGGAAGCTTTTCAGTTTGTGTTCTTGAATCCCATAGTACCAAACGCTGGGCAAACAGCAAAATACCTTCGCATTCAGCAAGTCAACTGGTGTATATACGTACATATTACACGCAAGTACCACAGCTGTGTTCCATACATATTGTATATTTGTTGTTGTTGCTATTGTTGTTATTGCTGCTGTTTTGCTATACCTGCCAGCTGCCCCTGCTTTTTTCAGACTTAGTGTGTGCTGGTCATGGAGCGACCTGGTCGCCTTACGGGATAGCTGTAACATCTCGATACTCTCAGGAGCTACTCTTCGACGGGAACTCTCGGTACAGCAGCACCTCCCCCAAATGTTGCTGCTGTAAATAGTGTAGCAGTAGTAGATGATATATCTAGCACCTCTTCCGGAAGAAGTCTGAGAAGGAAACGATATGTTAGAACCATGTTCAGACAAAACACTAGTGGTGCTTCCGCACGTGCCACATCAGTTATGGAAGGAGACGGTGGCTAATCGAAGTACCTTTTCCAGTTGCCTGCAGCGTAGCCTTCTGTTTCGAACAGGGCGCAAGGTGCCATAGTTCGAAAATTCGATGATCCAAGTCTCGGCTGGTCTCAGTTATTCTCCGCTTCTCGTTTAACTGCTCAGTTTGTCAAGTCGTTTTCAGTCTACTCTTCAAGCATGGAGAGACGGAGGAGCTCAGTCGGCAGCATTTCGAACAAGTGACTGTGCCTCGACTTTAGACAGTCTCTGGATTGTTGTCTCATTAAATTTCCCAAATTTTCCGTCATATATTTGAAAACCAAAATAACAGATGCCAGTCTGACGCTACTGATGCTAGACGCTGTGAGTGAAAGGGGGGGGGGGGGGGGGGGGGGGGGGGGGGGGGGG